CCTAGGAAAAAACCCTAGTCCACCCCTTGGCCGGAACAGGAACAAATTAAAAATTTCAAACATTTTTAAAAAATACCATTTAAATAAAATTCTTCAATATTATCCATGTGACATGACATGCTACATAGGACATAACTGTTGAATATTAACTCCATTAATAACATCAATTAACAATCATCCACTTCGGGACTAACGTGAACAATAGAAGCAATTTTACAACTTTTATAAATTTTTTTTCCTAATTTATCGTATTTCAAAGACTAAGTAATAATCGCCTCACACTTTCAAAGACTAAAGTTTAACCAAATCCTTATCGTAAATAAGCACAATATTTATTCTCATATAATTAAATTCAATTTAAAATCTCCATCCTTAATAGATCGGGATTAAGTGATTAACCACATGCACGTATGACGTATATATAATAACTTATGCATTTATTTAAATATTAGTTTTTAATTTTTAAATTAATAACTATAAATTTTTCACGTTATTCTCTTACACAAAACTTCATTTCACTTGGATTTCATGTAACATCAATTTTTTACTTGAAATCGTGAAAGGGGGAGAAATTTTGTTTTTGGCTTGGGTGTTACTTACAGAGATATCATTATTGATAAATCTAACAAACATGTCTAATCATCGTTTATTTATTTGTTCTCTTATTCTTCCCTTTTACAAATCAATATAACTACCCTCCACTTTAATTTTTATGACGGCAGAATTGTTTGGGCAACAAACATTTATGTTTCTTAATCATGGTCATTAATTTTTTGTTCTTTTCAAATTGTCATTTAATTCCTGCTCACCAACAAGGACAAAGGTAGTTCCACCCAATAAGTTATTTCCAGCCACAAAGCAGACAGTAAAATCACAAGTTAATTCAATAGATATCTAGTGCAAGTTTTAATTTATTTATTTTATATTTAAAATAATTCATTAATAAAATTTGTGGACAAAGTTCCAAAAACTAAGCTGATGTAAATATTGATTCCATTTATACATCTTACAATTTATTATTTTAAAAATATAGTTGAATATGGATTAAATGTCATAATAAATAAATAAGATTTTAAAGGCAGAATGTTGAGGAGTGTTTTGGCTTTAACTCTTGTACGGTGTATGTCGCTTTTAGGGGTGAAAATGGGTAGTTTTTATTTCCCTGCCCACAAAAAAGGAAAAAGGTAGTCCCACCAAAAAAGTTATTCCCAGCCACAAAGCAGACAGTAAAATCACAAGTTAATTCAATAGATATCTAGTGCAAGTTTTAATTTATTTATTTTATATTTAAAATAATTCATTAATAAAATTTGTGGACAAAGTTCCAAAAACTAAGCTGATGTAAATATTGATTCCATTTATACATCTTACAATTTATTATTTTAAAAATATAGTTGAATATGGATTAAATGTCATAATAAATAAATAAGATTTTAAAGGCAGAATGTTGAGGAGTGTTTTGGCTTTAACTCTTGTACGGTGTATGTCGCTTTTAGGGGTGAAAATGGGTAGTTTTTATTTAGTTAAAAATATTATATTTTAAGTGTTTAAAAAGTCTATTTATATAAAATAAATAAATATTTTATTATATATATATATATATATATATATATATATATATATATATATATTTGATTTATAAATATAACTCACGTATCATGGTTATATATATATATATATATATATATAATTGATTTATAAATATAATTCATGTTGTATTCTAAAACTAAGAATTAATAACTAATATGTATTTATAAGACATGATTCTTGTTGATCAATTATGTCAAATTATCTTTTATAATTTATGTGTAATGAACTTCTAAATCTCACCTATTAGGTGAGATTTTAAATAATTAACTATCAACGGCTAATAAATTACATTCTCTCAAATCATTTCCTAAGACTAACAAACTACATCCCCTCAAATCATTTCCTAAGAAAATCTCAAGATATTATAGATGAATATATTCTACCTTTTCCTAATTGATATAAGAGAATCTTTTTATTAAGTGGAAATTTATAAACTTATTTAAAGATAAATTTATAAGCTTGTTTAATGATAAATTTATAAATTTCCATTATATTTAAAAATCTTACTGCAAAACATGTTATCATGATATCCAAAATAACCAATGTAAAAAAGACTTTCTTGAAATAGTATCTAGAGCTCAACAATAATCTTTTACAAGCTTCAATTTTAATGTGATATTATTATTATTGGGTGTATGTCAAAATGACATTATGAATTAGTCTTAATCAATAATTTCTTCCTACTATTTGGCTTTTGTTCAATTATTGGACAAAATTAATAATAAAGAAAGGTTTATATATAATATTATAGATATTGATGTTTTTCTCTTTAATCAAAATTAAAGTTTGTTAAAAAAAATTAAAATTAAAGTTTTATTTCAATAATATATATATATATATAATTTAAAAAAATATATTAATGTTACTATGTATTGCTAATGTAAAACTCAAGTTTTCATTAAAGAACGACACTAACTAACATTGTAAAATTGTATTAATTAGTTAGTTTTATTCGATTAACCATGTACCGTATGAGGCTGAATGGTCCGAACACCCGACCACGTAATCGAGTGGTCCGAACACATTCACCCAAACCCGAATGAACCGAAGCCCGAACATGCCGACTACCCATAAAAGAGGACAAGTCGGTATGTTCGGCTCAGACACCAATCTTCGCTAGGATGATTATGGAGAGATTAATTTGCATAATATCTCGGTTTAACCCCCTAATTATCCGGGGCCCAGTCCCTAATCACGGCCTAACAAGAAACACTATAAATAGACCCCCTGTGAGGTACGTATCTAACTTTCAACTACCACATTTATTACGCCGAGCACTTACTTGAGCGTTGGAGTGTCTTTGCAGGCACACCCCCCTCACATCGGACTACCCGGATAGGAACGAGAAGACCGAGACCCAGGATCAGACTCGCTACAACAAGGATAAGTGAAGTGTGTATCCTAACACAGGAACATTTGGCGCCCACCGTGGGGCCGAAGAGACGTTTCAGCACCTTTTAAACTCTACGACTGAGACCGAGATATGGTAATTACGTGCAAGGGACAATCAACAACGACTCAACCAATCCCTAACCCCGAAAGTAACCCCGTCATGACCAACCAAGAACGATACCCGTACGGAATGCCCCAGACCCAACCGGAGCCGGTGGTGCGACAGGTCCGGCCGGATACCGGTCAAGCCCAACCCGACCTCCAAGACGACCTGCGCGCATTGCGCGAGGAAATGGCGGCCATTCGAAGGCAAAGGGAGGCTGATGCCCGGGAACTAGCCGAACTACGACGACAAAACGCCGAGCTCCGAAACCTGAATCAAACTTATGTGTCGTCTACTCCTACACCCGCGGAAGAGTCAGCCTATCATGCCCCAACCGACCAGATCACCCGAACACCGGTTACTTCCCTGATAGACAATAAGGCCGACACCACCGTCCATTCCCTGAGGCATCCTTTTTCCAGGAGAATAATGGAGACGACCTTACGGGCCCATTGGAAGAGCCTACCAATAGAGAAGTACGATGGGTCTACCGACCCTGAAGAGCACTTGAATGTTTTTCTAACACAAGCAACTCTCTCTACTCAAGACGACTCCGCACTATGCCGAATATTCCCCACGTCGCTGAAAAGAAAAGCCTTGAGCTGGTTCACGAGGTTACCGAGCACGTCCATCGACTCGTTCAACGAATTGTCATCCCAATTCTGTCTCCAATTCGCGACGAGCAAGCCGTATAGAACGACCTCGTTGGCCCTGGCGGGAGTTCGTCAGGAGAAAAAAAAGAGTCTAAGTTTCATGGACTGATTCAACAAGATAGCCATGGAGATCAGCGATCTAAACCCCGCAGTGGCGTTGGACCGACTGAGCACTGCCCTCAGGCCGGGGCCTTTCGTGAATAGCTTGTGCAAAAAACCACTGGTTGATATGAACGACCTTAGACGACGAGCCGAGAAGTACATGCAAATGGAGGAACTAGCGGAAACCCGAAATCAGGCTAGAGCCGAAGAAGGTTTTGGCCGAAAGGAATCCGGCCGAGAGCCGATGAAAAAGACCCATACCGAACAAATTAATGTTCGCCCCCCGAGAGGACCACGCTACACTGCGTACACTCCACTGAATGCAAGTAGGGCCAAGGTGATGGAACAAGCCCTCACCTCCGAAATCTTGGTAATGCCGAAAAGGGCAAACACCCCCCCGAGGGCCGACAAAGCTAAGACTTGTAGGTTCCACCGAAACAGAGGGCACTCGACAGAAGAGTGCTCGGCCCTAAAGGACAAGATTGAGGACCTAGTGAAGCAAGGTCATCTCGGGAGTTTTGTCACCCCTCAAAGCCATCAATCGAGAGGGAGAGACTACCACGCTCGGGAAGTGGCACCCCCAAAGGACCGACGCCGCCGATCCCGGTCTGACGAAAGGAGAGACTATTCTAGGCATTCCCGAGAAGACAATGACCGACCAAAGAAAATTATCAACACAATAGTTGGAGGCTTCGCCGGGGGAGGTTCTACATCTTCGGCACGAAGGAGACACCTACGAGCTGTACGATCGGTGAACAATGTAAATCAGCCGAGAACACCGAAGATGCCGCCGATCACGTTCTCGGATCGAGACTTCCGTGGCGTCGACCCCATTCAGGACGATCCCCCGGTGATTTCTGTTGAGGTTCATAATTGCATTGTGAAGAAGACCCTGATCGACCAGGGAAGCTCCGCCGATATCTCGTATTGGAACACCTTCATGCAATTGGGAATCCCAGAGGAGAGCTTAGAACTGTACCACGAGTCATTGGTAGGATTCTCGGGCGAGAGAGTCATGACGAGAGGGTGCATTGATCTGTACACACGCTTCGGCTTCGACCAAAAGTATGCCCGAGAGATCAAAATTCGCTACATTGTGGTACACGCGAGCACGTCCTACAACATCCTACTAGGCCGACCCTCGATCAACGCCCTGGGGGCCATTATCTCAACCCCTCACCTATGCATGAAGTTTCCATCAAGGGATGGTCAGGTAATTACTATTCATGCCGATCAGAAGACGGCGAGAGAGTGCTACCTCTCGAGCCTGAAGGTGAAACCTATTGCCGACCCCCCAACGTCCGCGAGAGGTGTACATGTCGTCAGGCAGGCAATGACGGAGGACATAGACCTCGATCCCCGGCTAGGTGAAGAGGAGCGGATTGAGCCAGCTAAAGACCTCATTCCTTTTCAACTAGGCCGAACGCCGGAACAGACCACCAACATTGGAACTCAACTGAGCGAGGCCGACGTAAACCGAGTCAAGTGTGTAGTCCGGGATAACCGAGACCTTTTTGCATGGACGGCGTCAGACATGCCGGGCATAGATCCAAAGTTTTTATGTCACCGACTGGCCGTATGCCGAGATGCCCGACCTGTCGCTCAAAAGAAGCGAAAAATGGGTGATGAGAAGAGGAGAGCCGCCAATGCCGAGGTACAAAAACTCCTACAAGCAGGGTTCATCCGAGAAGTCACCTACACCACCTGGCTAGCCAACGTGGTGTTGGTCAAAAAATTGAATGGCAAGTGGAGAATGTGCACCGACTACACCGACCTCAATAAAGCCTGCCCGAAGGATGCTTACCCACTCCCTTGCATCGACCGGCTCGTCGACGGCGCATCTGGACATGCTGTGTTTAGTTTCCTGGACGCTTACTCTGGCTACAACCAAATAAAGATGCATCCTGTCGATGAAGAAAAAACGGCGTTCATCACCGAGAGCGCCAATTTTTGCTACCGAGTCATGTCGTTTGGACTGAAAAACGCTGGGGCGACATACCAAAGGCTGATGGACAAAGTGTTCCAGGATCAGATTGGCCGAAACATCGAAATTTATGTGGATGACATGGTAGTCAAGTCCAACTCTCTCACCGACCACATAGCGGACTTAGCCGAAATCTTCGGGGAACTCCGAAAGCACAACATGAGGCTCAACCCCGAGAAATGTACCTTCGGGGTCAAGGGAGGCAAATTTTTGGGGTTCATGTTATCGGCGAGAGGCATAGAAGCAAACCGAGACAAGTGTCAGGCCGTATTAGACATGCGAAGTCCGAGTAACCTCAAGGAATTACAACGACTTTCAGGAAGATTGGTAGCCCTGTCCCGATTCCTCTCCCGCCTGGCCGACAAAATCAGCCCCATGACGAAGCTCCTGCGAAAGGCTTCGGCCTTTTTATGGGACGAGGCCTGTGAAGAAACCTTCACAGCCCTGAGAACAACATTGGCGACGCCGCCAATCCTAACGAGGCCTAATCCTTCAAACCCGCTCCTGGTATACTTGGCGGTGTCTGACGAAGCGATCAGCTCGGTCCTGGTGCAAGAAAAAGAAGGAACCCAAGCCCCAATATACTTTGTCAGCCGACTCTTGCAAGATGCCGAGACCCGGTACCAACTGATTGAAAAAGTTGCACTCTGCCTGGTACACGCCTCTAGGCGGCTAAGGCATTATTTCCAAAGCCACCGGGTAGTTGTGTACCCCGATTGCCCGATCTCGAAGGTCCTAGGCAAGCCCGAACTCGCTGGGAGGATGATGGCTTGGTCAGTGGAACTGTCACAGTTTGACATCACCTTCAAGCTGAGAGGGCCGATCAAAGCCCAATGCTTGGCAGACTTCGTTAATGAACTCCACCCGCACGGCCACTTCGAAGAGCATTGGTGGACCCTCCACGTAGACGGTTCCTCGAATGGCCAGGGGAGTGGGGCCGGTGTGATCTTAGAAGGACCAAAAGGGATGACCTTAGAACAGTCTTTGCGTTTCAAGTTTAAAGCTTCGAACAATCAGGCAGAGTATGAAGCTCTACTGGCCGGTTTGAGGTTGGCCGAGGATATGGGCGCATCAAAAATCAGATGCCGGACGGACTCCAAAGTGGTGGCAGAGCAAGTGGGTGGTAACTCCCAAGTGAAAGACCACAACATGATGAAATCCTACCATGCCTATCAAAGATTGAAGGCAAACTTCCAAGAGGTGTCGGTCGAACACATCCCACGCGAGAACAACACTCGAGCCGACCAGTTGGCTAGGCTAGCCGCAACCAAAAAGCCAGGTCATTTGAGAACCATCATCCAACAGGAGATCGACCACCCTAGTGTCAAGACAGAAATGATAGCAAGTGTCAATGTCGGCAGCACCGACCCCAACGACCTCCCAGACTGGCGAACCGAAATCACATCGTTCCTCATCAACGGAATCACACCGGACGACCCGGCCGAGGCCAAACGGTTGAGAACTCAAGCCAGTAGATATGTCGTCATAGCCGGGCAACTGTACAAACGTGGCTTCTCTACCCCTCTGCTAAAGTGCCTTGACCCCCATGAAGCCGATTATGTGATGAGGGAGGTGCACGAGAGGATCTGCGGCATGCACTCAGGGGCAAGGACGATTGTCTCCAAACTCTTACGGGCCGGATACTATTGGCCGACTATAAACACCGACTGCGCAACATTTGTGAAGAAGTGTCTACCGTGTCAGAAGCATGGGAACCTGATCCACCAGCCGGCCAAGCAATTACATTGTATCCCCCCCGCGTGGCCGTTCGCTACCTGGGGAGCCGACATACTCGGACCCTTTCCGATCGCCAAGGGGCAATGCAAGTTCCTCATTGTCGCTGTGGATTTGTTTACTAAGTGGATTGAAGCCGAGCCCTTGGCATGCATCTCCGCTCTCCAAGTCTAAAAGTTCTTATGGAGAAATGTCATCACTCGTTTTGGCGTCCCGCATACACTGGTAACCGACAATGGCCTTCAATTCACCGATCGAAAACTCAACGAGTTCTTAGCCGGCCTAGGAGTACAGCACAAGTTTACCTCGGTAGAGCACCCACAAACAAACGGGCAGGCCGAGTCGGCCAACAAGGTCATCTTGGCAGAATTAAAGAAACGGCTAGGGGAAGCAAAGGGAGCATGGGCCGAGCAACTACCCGAGGTACTCTGGGCATACCGATGCACTCCTCAATCGACTACACAAGAAACCCCCTTTCGCCTGGCTTATGGGTCCGATGCGATGATCCCAGTGGAAATCGGGGAACCATCATTCCGCCGAGCCCACTTCGACGAAGCAAACAACGGAGCCGAGCTCCGAACAAATCTGGACGCCGTAGAAGAAGTTCGAGACCGAGCGTTGGTAGTGGCCGAGGCCACCAAACAACGATACAAGAGAAGGTTCGACAGCAAGGTAAAGCCTAGAGAATTCCGAGAAGGAGATCTCGTCTAGAGAGCCACAGGCGAAGCGAGAAAAGACCTGAGACAAGGGAAGCTCGCCCCAAACTGGGACGGGCCCTTCCGAGTCCGACACAACCTGAACAACTGAGCGTTCAAGCTGGAGCACCTATCCGGAGAACCTATCCCAAGGACTTGGAATTCCACTCACCTAAAGATGTATTACAGCTAATGTACTAGTGCAATCTTTTCCTTAACCGACTCTTTTTTCCCTAAGGAGGGTTTTGGGTCGGCAAGGTTTTTAACGAGGCACTTCATTAATGCAAAAACTTGAAAATCATTTCCCTCCTTATTTAATATTATGCATACATATGGGTCACGATTATGCAGGTCTGATCTGGGTTAACTCGTATTGGTGCCGAGCAACCCTCGGCCGACCACTCCAAAGTGCCCTCGAGTTCAACAGGTTTCCCTCCCGAGTACCCTCCTCGGCTAAGGATGTACCTAGGCCGAGCATTACTTTCACGCACCGACGCCGAGCAACTCTCGGCCGACCACTCAAACGTGCACTTGCGCCGAACAGGTTTCCCTCCCGAGTACCCTCCTCGGCTAAGGATGTACCTAGGCCGAGTACTACTCCTGTGTACCCACGTCGAGCAACCCTCGCCCGACCACTCCAACGTACAATCGAGCCTAACAGGTTTCCCTCTCGAGTACCCCCCTCGGCTAAGGATGTACCTAGGCCGAGTACTACTTCCGTGTACCCTCACCGAGCAACTCTCAGCCGACCACTCAAACGTGCACTTGCGCCAAATAGGTTTCCCTCCCGAGTATCCTCCTCGGCTAAGGACGCACCTGGGCCGAGTACTCTACACAACCAACTCCGTCGCCGAGCTACACCGGGCCGACCACTCGTTTATACACCCGCGCCTAACAGGTCCCCTCCCGAGCACTCCCCTCGGCTAAGGATGTACCTAGGCCGAACACTACGTGTTCCCACAACGAAATCACAAACGGTGCAATCGTGCCCAACAGTTTTCCCTACCAACTACCCACTCGGCCGAACACTTCGACGCGCACGCAGGCCCGGCAGGTCTTACTTCCGAAACCGACTGGTCCGAATAACAAAATAAATTGCAAACCACGTCAAGACCAAAGTATTGTAACCCGAATACTCATAAGCGAAACATTAACGGCTTACGTTTAAACACATAACTTGTCCGCATCGGTCATAGTGAAGTCGATTTATATTAGTGGTAACTTGGTAAAATTAAAGCAAGGAAATGTTAAGCAAGACAAACTTCAAAGTTTCATTAATCATGGCCGATCAAAATGGCTACTTACAAAAATAGTCAGTCTATACACCGACACTAGAGGTCGGGCTTACAAAAGGCGCCAACGGCCCAGGTACAGAATGAAAAGGCAAAAAAGATCAACCCTAGCCTACCTTATACAGCAGCCGACCCTGGCGGGTCCTCGCCACCCACCACATCTATAACCGGGTCCTCTTCCTCGGTCTGTTGCACCGGAGCCCGGCCAAGCTCAGCTTGCCGAGGAGCTTCGACATCAGGTTGAACCCCTTGGGGGAACTCGGCAAAGCTGATAAACTTGCCATTCAAGAAATCCTGGCTAACGTCAAATTGAAAATCAGTCGGGACGTCACAGAACTGATAAGCTTGCCGGACAGCATGGTTGAAACCGGCGTCGTGTTGGGAGAGGATCTGCTCAGTGGCTTCGGCCTCGAACTTGGCGGCTTCCTCCTTTAGCCGATTGATCTCACCAGCAGCGGCGACAGACTCGACCTTCATCTTCTGCATAGCCAACTTTAGGTCGTCGGCTTCCCTTCGATAGGCATCGGCCGCTTTCTTCAGCTCCTCAGCCGACTCTGTGGCCTTGGCGTTGGCACTCAGAGCATCCTTCACTGTATTCTCGGCATCCTTCAAGCGTGCTTGAAGCCTCTCGGCCGAGACCGCCGATCTCATCATGACATGCTTTGCCACAAGAGAAGTCCGAGCATCAAGCTCACAGAACAGCTTGTATTCGGCCTCAGCGGACATTCCCTCCAAATATTGAAGTCCTCCGCTAGTTGTAAGGTCGAGACTGACCAAATTCTCGACCTGAACTCCTGATGCCAAGAAGTTAGACCCGGCCACAACGGCCGAAATGGCAAAGGCACCGCACCCTGCTTGCTCCAAGGATAATTGTTTGGGGTGCTTGGAGGAGGAGCTCGGCCTTTCCGGCTCAATATTCTGTTCCGCAGCCCGCGCTCGAGACATGTTCCCCTTTTTCTTGGGGTCGGCCACAGGAACCAGCACATGAGCAGGTTTATCCCGTTGCACCTTAAGGGCCGACCGTGCCATATGCTCATCATCAAAACGACACTGTTGAACGGAGACACAGACATGTAATTGAACTTGGATTGGCAGTGCTTCACCATTTGGCCTTACCACTAAAATTTTGGGATCATGCCTTTTTAACTGCTACCTACTTAATCAACAGACTACCCACCTCTTCTGTTGGTTTTCAATCACCCTATTGTTGGTGGTGAATTTCGCACTTTAATTCTGTTTCTACAACAAGAAGGCATTATTCATAGACTTACTTGTCCCTATGCTCATCATCAAAACGACACTGTTGAACGGAGACACAGACATGTAATTGAACTTGGAAACGTGGACATGAAGCCTCCACGTGTCACCAGCTTTCCAATAGCTTATCATTGGGTGGTTTTAGATTGCCCTTCCATTCACTGTTTGCTCCTTACCCCACCTATGGTCCCAGTTCTCAACATGGGTATGTGCCTCAGAATCCTGGCCCTGGTGCTGTTCCCTACTATGGATCTGTCAATATGCTTGGACATTCAGGTCCAGTTTCGTGGCCTCCTTATCCCTTGGGTGGCTCTTTTTCTGGTCCTGGTCTCCCACCTCCTGGATTCACCTTCCCTGCAGCGACATCCAACCAGTCAAGTCATTCGCGTGCTGCATCCCCTGCTCAACATGCTGCTCCAACTCTAAACACTGCTATAGCATGGATTCCAGATTCTGGTGCTTCTCACCATGCAACCCCTGACCCTCAATATCTCTTGCAGAGTGCTCAATTCACTGGTGCAGAGCACATTGCTATGGCCAATGGCCAAGGTACATCTATTGCCTCAATAGGTTCTAATATGTTTCGGTCCCCTATGCATCCTTCCACAATTTTGTCTCTCAAAGACCTATTACTTGTTCCCACTTTAACCAAAAACCTAATAAGTGTTTCAAAAATTGCTATAGACAACAATGTCTACTTTGTTTTCTATCCTCATTGCTGTTTTGTCAAATCACAGGATTTGAACGAGACTCTTCTTGAAGGGAAACTTGGTGAAGATGGTCTCTATCATTTTCACCCACATCTGGTGAAGAAGGAATCTATCAATATTGATATTGAGAAGAATTCAGCTCTTCTTAAATCTGATCCTTGTATTTTTCTTTCTAAAAAATGTAATCATGTTGTTTCCAATACCTATAAACAGTGGCACTTACGGTTAGGGCATCCTCATCATGATTCCCTAACTAAAGCCTTACAAACTTGTAATATTCATCTTCCCACTGTTAATAAAATTTTTGATTTTTGTGACTCATGCTATATTGCCAAGTCTCATAGACTTCCTTCTCAATCTTCCACCACTGTTTATTCCAAACCACTTGAATTCGTTTTTCTATATGTTTGGGGACCTGCATCATTAGAATCTAGTTGTGGTTATTTGTATTTCTTAACGTGTGTTGACGCTTGTACCAGATACATGTGGATTTATCTCCTTCGTAGAAAATCAGACGTGTATTCCAATTTTCAAAATTTTAAAGCTCTGGCTGAGAAACAGTTCCAAACGCCTCTCAAATCTGTTCAAACAGATGGTGGTGGTGAATTTCGCACTTTAATTCTGTTTCTACAACAAGAAGGCATTATTCATAGACTTACTTGTCCCTATGCTCATCATCAAAACGACACTGTTGAACGGAGACACAGACATGTAATTGAACTTGGATTGGCAGTGCTTCACCATTTGGCCTTACCACTAAAATTTTGGGATCATGCCTTTTTAACTGCTACCTACTTAATCAACAGACTACCCACCTCTTCTGTTGGTTTTCAATCACCCTATAAACTGATTCATAACAAGGATCCAGATTATACATTTCTAAAGGTCTTCGGTTGTTCTTGTTTTCCATTACTTACTCCATCATTCAACGGCCCAGATCTCGCAACCTTTGAAATGATAACCGTTAGGGCTAACGTGGCAAGTCACATCCTGCAACACCTACCCACGAACACTGACCACGCCTCGGTACAAGACTCAAGCAACTGGGGCCTCGGTGTAATCCAAGGTAGGCTTTAACTCAGCCTAAGCCACTCAGGTACTTGGCCACAAGTCGGCCCAAACAACACTCGACCAAAAATCAACAACTCGGCCACAATTCAGCCCAAACATCACTCGGCCCAAACTCAACAACTCGACCACCAATTGGTCAAAACACCATTCGGCCCATACTCCACCGGCCAATAGTAATTCCAAAACCGGCTAAACCTATTCCCAGACCCCTTCTAGGTCGGACGCCGAGAACCACCACTACACACATTCTTAACGTCTTCGTCTCTGCGATCCTCGACGCTGTGGGGGCTGTGTACCGTATGAGGCCGAACGGTCCGAACACCCGACCACGTAACCGAGTGGTCCGAACACATTCACCCAAACCCGAATGAACCGAAGCCCGAACATGCCGACTACCCATAAAAGAGGACAAGTCGGTATGTTCGGCTCAGACACCAATCTTCGCTAGGATGATTATGGAGAGATTAATTTGCATAATATCTCGGTTTAACCCCCTAATTATCCGGGGCCCAGTCCCTAATCACGGCCCAACAAGAAACACTATAAATAGACCCCCTGTGAGGTACGTATCTAACTTTCAACTACCACATTTATTACGCCGAGCACTTACTTGAGCGTTGGAGTGTCTTTGCAGGCACACCCCCCCTCACATCGGACTACCCGGATAGGAACGAGAAGACCGAGACCTAGGATCAAACTCGCTACAACAAGGATAAGTGAAGTGTGTATCCTAACACAGGAACAAACCATATTCAAATGAGAAATGTTATATATTCTAAAACATTCTTTCGATTCATCCTTCAAATCGATTAATAATTTACATATGTGGAAAACTTCAGATAATTTTTTTTAATTTTAATATTTTGAAATTTTTTACTTTTGGAGAATTTTTCGATCGGTAAGTTTCGGAGGAAAAATCATTTCTCTTTCCAAATACATTTTCCCATTTTTTTTTGTGAGGGTGTTTCCATCTAATACCTAATATCCATATTTACAATCAAGTTCCAATTTGTATTATTCCTTTAATTATTTGTTTCTATTAAAAAAAAAGAAAAAAAATATTTGTTGTAAAATAGGCACTCACCTTTGACACTCAACAAGCAGTGGCTAGTAACAATGCTCTACATGCATGGCAAAATTAATGCCAAGAGGCACCAGGTTATATGTTTAATTTAGACACATAGTGATAATGTCTGATTTAGATCTTAATTGCTTCTTCAAATTATTTATTCAAAGTTCCTTCAAAATCCTGTGTGCAATGATTAAGTATGAAACTCAATTCTGCAATCTGATCTAACTATGATCTTATATCGTTAAACCATGTTAAATTGAGATAATTAATAACAGTCAAATGAAAGTTTTAATGTATAATTTCAATGATAAATGTGGAGAAGCATCGTAATTATATGTAGTATACCAACCTCTATATAATATTTTTTATACACTATTCAACTACCTTCCACGCTCCTCAAGTCTTACATATATCCAAACACGTAAAAAACTTGAGATATTTTATAAAACCATAAAATTTGACTCTATCTCATGTGATGTATAATGCATCTAAAATATTTTGAGTGTGATAAAAAATAAAAAATAAAAATAAAAAGGTTTGCATTTAGGATCAAGTCCAGAGAGCCACTGTTAATAATTGGATTGTACCCCAGGACAGGGCCATTGCAATTAAGAAAATTAAAAGCAGTGTACCTGCATGCAGATCCATATGATATCCGTGCACATTATTTCACCACAAATTATACATGCTTACCATAGACATATACAACACCTTTGGTTGTTTACTGCACTTAATTAAACACAAATAATTAACCAAAGTAGTGATGAAATGGGAAATTAATTGCTGATCTATAAGTTCTGGTAATATTAATATGCCCTACCACATGAACCTTTTTTAATCAAGTCTCGTAGCCAGTATCTTCACTATTATATGCCCTACCACATGACCGTCATTTAATTAAGTCCAGTAGCCAGTATATTCGCCATATTGGAGAAAGATGTTGCATAACTATGTGTTAAAATAATATTAGTTAAGTAGAACTCACATTCTCCAAATAATATCTTGATTTATATAATAGAAATCTTATGTTAAAATAAGCTATCGAAATTACAAAACTCTAATTTTAATTAAAAAAAATTGTTAAAAACAGGTGAAAAATGTAGTTAAATTGTATGGAAGAGTTAAACTGGGCACATTTTTTTTCTTCTAAATCTGTATAGAATAGAGTGTGAAGTGGGAATGAATGGGTGAAAAAGTTGAAATTGAATGGTTGTTTTCTATATGTTAATGTTGGTTGGTTCGGCGAGCCACCCGGGAGCAATTATTTGCGCTTGTGAGTTGTGAGTCGTTTTACAGCTTACAACACCCAAAACAAAACAATAGCCACTTCACACTTCACACTCACAGCACAGGGGTCCCAATTTTGATTTCTGACACCTTCCCATGATTTTCATACGTAACATCAATATAAATAATTAACAATAAAATCCTTTTTTTTCATTATTTCTATTTTATCAAAATTGTTACTGACAGGGTCCTTTGCTGATTGCCTGACCATTGAGAACTAAGTACCCTTTTTCTTTTTTATTTTGGGTTCCTTTCATGTCATGAAGATGACAATAATATTGCAATTTTTTAATGCTACTTGATTGTATTTTCATCCTCCAATTTTTCCTATTTTCAGCACCATGGAGAATGATAATTAATCTGATAATTCCTGATTTCTGAAATTCTTTATAGATTTACTACATGTTTTGTGATTTAATATGTTTCTTGTATTTTCTATGTGCTAAGCTAGAAATTATTTCATTAATTAATGACCCCATATGCCTGTTAGCTCGGATTTCTAAGGCAATCAATATATTTTTGTTTGGAAATGAGGATGCCTCACTGAAGCTTCCTGCCAAAAAAAAGCTCAGAATTCATCTTCACCCACAAACTAACTATAGAGGTAGTGTCGGTTTGGATAATAAGTGGAATCAATTCTTTATACCGAATCAAATTTTCAACAAAGATCTATAGTTATGATTAATTAAACACGTATCCTGTCAAGATTTTATATTCTTACTATTATCCTTTTTAATTAAAAATAAACATATTGATTTTTTTATTTTATCATATAATTTCAATATATACAATTTAGTGTTAGTAAATATCGGTATATATCGTTATTTAATTTAAAAATTAATGATAAAGACGTTACATTTTCTTTATTTATATATATATATATATATACTACAGTACAGTCTTAAAACTAAAAATAGAAAGATAAGAAGGCAGTTTAAATTTCCCAACTCTTGTCTTGAATTCCAGAAATTAATAACGGAAGGCCAAGGAGTACACAATTGAATACTATCAATAAATACTCACGCAGCAAACTTCATCATCCATTGATGTGACAATGCAAGATGAGTATGCATGGAATGCAAAAGTTGTTCTTAGACCCATTTGTTTGCCCATAATGAATGGCTCGCAACCATATTCTCTGGGAATCTCACAATATACCGATCCATATCTAATGACAATTTTATAGTTTTATTTCTTTAAAGACTGACCACTTTTCATCATGTGCCTCATGTGGCATGAGGTAACCCATCGTTTGTGGGTAATTAGTTTTATGTTAATTGATGTAGAGAAATGCTTATTATATATGAGTCAGTTTTTCATGACAAAAGATGTTAAACTAATGTTACTAAAGTACAAAAGAATCTGAATCACAATACATGTAAAATGATGTTTCAGAAATCCTTTCTTTCATCATCAAAGGAAACTACAACATCATGGTAGAGTAAAGACACAACTCGCCAGTGATTCCCGTGACACTTCACTCTGCACAAAAGTTTACGACTCCAAGCTTTTTTTTCTTTTTCTTTTTTTAAATTAATAGTATTAATATAAAATATTTATAATCATTTAATCAGAGGTATAAATATAAGAAACAATAATTAATTTCTGTTAAAAATTATAAGTGCACAATAAATAAATTTTCGTTCGTCAACATAATTTATTTTGTATTTACAGTGAGAAATCAAACTCTAGATAATTTAATTAAAAGATACAAATTTGGTGTATTTTTTTTAAAATTTTTTTGTAAAGGTGTTGTTGATATACCCGAGCTTTTTTATGTGTCTCTTCTATGCTATAATAACCTACCAAACTAAACCTCTGCTACACTCTATCACCCTAACCTCTCCGCTCTAGTTCCATCACTTCTCAGCAAGAAAAAAAAAATAGTGAAGTCGTAACTTTTGGATATATCAGGCAGAAGGGGGGGTGTCAAAGGCACAATGCAAAGTTCAGGGTCATTGTTGAAGCAGTTGAGTGTGAAGGAGGCTTGGAAATCAACATCAAATAGGTGGAGTGGGAAGGACAAGTGTAGCAGTGTTGGGGGAGGGGGCTTTGAGGGGTGTGAGGCAAGTCTGAGCCAAATGGAAGGTTTTGCCATGTATGGGAGTGAGGACAATGGAATGATGGGGAAGAAGAGAGTGATGGTGGTGGTGGATCACACTTCACATTCCAAGCATGCAATGAAGTGGGCACTCACCCATGTAGCTAATAAGGGTGATTTGCTCACTTTGCTTCATGTTGTCCCACCTCATAGGGGTTCTGAATCTTCTTGTTCTAACTATCTTGTCAATTATCTTGGTTCTCTTTGCAAAGATTGCAAGCCAGAGGTAAATTCCTGAATCATAGTCATACTAATTAACATGTTACTCTTGATTTTGAGTCTTGAATTTCCTTTCTTAAGGTTGAGAAGGGAGAACATAGGATATGTCCTTTCTCTCCATTCTCCTTTCCTTGCATTCAGTGATGTTTGGTAGATCTTGAATTTTTTATTCAAGTTGGTCTTGAATCTTCATTCTTCAGTGCTGTTCAAGAAGAGGCAGCCATGAAGTTCCTTCTTTTTTTTTTTTTTTTTCTTTTACATTGTTTATAAAACTTGTGTATATTTTTTTCCACCCATGATGTTTTTGAACTTTTTCTATTCTTTAGAGGGCAAAGGGTCTGAGATTCCTGTGCTATTCCAGTCTTTTATTTTCACTTTCCAGAAAGAAATCATGAGAATGCTCAGATGCTCTTCAGCTTTTCATTGGCAGCCATGAAGTTCCTTTTTTTTTTTTTTTTTTTTCTTTTACATTGTTTATAAAACTTGTGTATATTTTTTTCCACCCATGATGTTTTTGAACTTTTTCTATTCTTTAGAGGGCAAAGGGTCTGAGATTCCTGTGCTATTCCAGTCTTTTATTTTCACTTTCCAGAAAGAAATCATGAGAATGCTCAGATGCTCTTCAGCTTTTCATTGCACATTCCCCCCTCAGGAAAATAAAATTGAAATTTACTGACACTATCTTGGTCTGACATAGGTGGAAGTGGAAGCACTTGTAATTCAAGGACCAAAACTTGCCACAGTGATGAGCCAAGTGAAGAAGCTGGAGGTTTCTGTCTTGGTATTGGGCCAAAAGAAGCCCTCTCCTCTTCTTAGCTGGTAGGATTCATATCATCTATCCTTCAATGCAATTTTCCATCCTTCAATGCAATTTTCCAACCTTCAATCTCAAATCTCAATTCTCAAACTTTGAAACGCCCCCTTTTTTCTTAATATATTAAGATAAACTTTTTTGAAACACTTCTAACTTTTAAGAGAGAAAAATATAATATAAATTAAAATAAATTTATTCTCGAGTTAAAATTAGTCTACAGATGAATTAGACTTCTATAAATTAATTTATATCTATAAATTGATTTTAATTTAAAAGAAAAATTTATTTTATTTTATTTTCTTATTTTTGTCTCTTAAACGTCCTTTCTCTTAAGTTTAGACAAATGGCCCGATGTATGGTGATAACAGATAATCGAGAAATCAATAATTAAGATTTTGATTGCTTTATGATCTATTTGGTATTTTATTATTAGGATGTGATAAAGTAATCTCTTATTAGAGTATATATAGATTTTTAAAAAAAAATTACTTAACTCTTAAGCATTTGACGTTTAATTCATTAATTTTTACAGCCTGTGTGGAAGCAACAGTAACAGCAGCTCAGAGGAGTTTGCTGAGCACTGCATCAACAACGCAGAATGCTTGACAATAGGAGTGAGGAAGAGAAGTCAAGGCAACAATGGCTACCTTATCAGCACAAGGTGGCAGAAGAACTTCTGGCTACTGGCTTAGATCTTGAGTTCTTGACTTAAGTTGCTAGCTATAGTTAGGATCCCACAAAAAGGGACAAATGGGAAAATTAACACAATAATTTGTACCTTCGGTTCTAGTTCTAACTTCATTCTCATTGTAATGAGATGACCCGGTGGCATCAATTTAATACTATACTATCTGATTATATGATTAATTAAACATGATTGTGACCAATAACTTTTTTCCTCGTTTTTTTTTTAGTGTAGGTAATTCTTCACCGTTTGAAATTTAAATGAACGATACAGAGAATGGTTGAAGAAATTACATCTAAGTGAAATCATATCTATCACGGACCACCATCACCACCACCTATAGATGAAGGACCACTAGGCAGGTGGTAGAAGAAATCATTTACATGAACATTAAATTCCAGTACTCTTTTTGGTAAGCGTAACACGAAGCGTATAGAAATAAATAACAGTAACCTACTAGTAACAACTGTGTAGCCAACCTAGATTAGATTTAGATCATATATTTCATTTCATCATGGGTAGCCTCCAAGTATTTCATGATATAACTTCCCAAGTAAATATGATGCTCAAAACATAGTCAATGAAGTTGCTCTGATTAAGTTATTAGACTTATATGCAAGTTAAGAGTATTTAAGAATTTTATTAAAAATAAAGAACATTTTTTGGTAGAGTATTTTTCAATAGTGTTTTTAAGTTTATATTCAAACATTCTCATATAAGATACTGGGATTAACAAGAGATATTGATATTTAATCTTCATTATTCCCCTTATACAAAATAACTCAATGGCATTAAATGCCTTTATTTTATATATTTTTGTTTCTTTTGTGAATCACATACTTCAAACAGTAACACACATTATTAGCGTTGAATACTAGCAACAAAGTAACCTTACCTTAACTTTAAATCAAAATCAAACAGGAACATTGTTAGTTTTGTCCATTCAATTCTCCCCCACCCTCACTTTCTTATCAACTTTCATTAAATTAATGTGAACTTACAAAAATAATTACAATTATGTTAACCACTGTCTTAAACTTTTGATTAAGGGTTGTTATCTATATAGGATCTTAATTCAGGAATACTAAATATTTTGTATTAAATGATCTTAATTACTTGAAGTAACAAATATTAATTAACGGTAATGTTTTAACAGAATGATTTCATTTTAACAAAAACAAAATTGTGTTTGTTTTCTTAACCCACAATTAACTTTCATCATATGTGTGCTGCAGTCATATCATATCAGGAGACAAAATAGAAAAATGGTGGCATAAAAATTACACAGAAATCAAGTCATTAAGAAGATCAAAAAAGGGGCAACACAAAAGGGATTCAAAAAATAACTATGCATTAAAACTCTGGAATCTAAGGGAACAAATAATCAAAGTCACTTTTACTTTTATAACCTTAATCTATCACTGCCCTTCCAAACGGCAGAAATCTCATTCGTAGCCTAAACCAATTATTAGACCTTATCATCTAATTTGTCATTTACAAGAGGAAGCAACTCAATCTTACTCCTAGGAGTTCTTGGTGTCCGAGGAGTTCCTGGAACTGGTGGCTGTTGGGAGAGCAAATGCCTCACATAACCATAGAATGTACATCCAACAAGAGTCACGGCACATCCAACAGCATTTAAATATGATATTGGGTTCCTAAAAATTAGCCAAGAAACAAGAACGGCAACAGCAACCTGCACAAAAAGCATGATTACTGTCAATTGGTAAATTAAGACATCACATAATGGTTTTCACCATTCAAACACACAAATTATTGGTGTTAATATTTATATGATGTTGTTTAGTTGGAGGAAAATAGAGCGGAGGAAAAGGAAAGGGAAGGAAAATGCCAAAAGTCCTCTCCTTCCATTTTTTCCACCGCTCCAATATTAGGGGTTTGGAGAGGAATCCCTCCCCTACCCTCCCCCTTTTTGGATCCAATAAGAGTGATTGGTGATTTACATGCAATGTTGAAGTGTAGAATTCAACAGATTATATGAAACTGAGTAAGGGATAAGGAAGAAAGAAGTAGAAAAAGTACATTTTCAAGGAACAACAATAATATGGCTACAACTCCGGGTATTAAATAGGAAAATATGAAGAGTTTCTCAAGAGCAATACATGAACGAAACAACTGAAAACAAAATAATGAACCCAAATTTTAAGACCAAACACTAAAGTAGCTTGAAGGATTTGAATCTGCTTGATAGATCTCACCTTAAGGTTTCCTGCAACATTAAACGTTACAGCAGTGGTCGAATGAATCACATAAAAAATGGAGAAGTTAAGGCAGAAAGCCAAAACACCAGAGCTGAAAATAATGATCAGGGCCGACCAAGGATATGGATGAGTACTTAGCCACTCAAGAACTCCATTGCCTTCAAGTAGCAAAGCAGGTATTGCCAAGATCATGGTTGCAAAAGGGGCCATGTAATAAACTGTGTTTATGCTACAAGGACCAAAAAGAATAATTAGCTATATACTGCAGAAATATGGTGACACAGCAATTCAGAGAATGTACACAAGCACAAAATAGAGAGTATAGCATAATAACAAAATCGGGTAATAAGGGAATGGAAAGATCACCACTAACCTAGTAGCAACACTTTCCCTTTTCTTTTAAAATTAATAGATAAAATAAGATGCAAGAAAAAGAAATGTTGAAAACTTGGCACCTAAGGGGATTTTTATCAGAAATGTTTCCATAGATGTTACAATAGAGACAGTCTAACTAGTAACTAATGGGGAAGATTTTCATATTCCTCCAGTCATTGGACTGAAACCTTTGGAGGCTAATTGACACAAAAAGGGGCCAAAGCAAGACCCACGTGTAGCATATATCTCTCTTTTTTTTTTAATCAAGGAATTAAGAGAATGTTCAAAATATTAGTCCATTAAGGATACAATCACTTGTGACTTGTGAGATAAATTTAACCATCATTAAATATTTCGATAACCTCGTGATACTATTAACCACATACAGATAATTGTATACAAATACCACTTCTGAGTCAAAGTTATCTATGTAGTTAACCTCGGGTTCGTGTGGGACAATTTCGAACGGAACAAATATCATTTCTTATTATGAATGTAGGAGATATTATAATCCATTTAACCACTAACCATCCGATCCATCCATGCATAAAAATCCAACCAATCCATCTGATTAAAATAATGAATTGGTTGGATTGAATAACCATTTGTTATTGGATAGATAATGAATCATCCATATTTTGTAATCCATTACATCAAGTAATCAAAATTTCATTGGTTGGGAATTGGAATAGGTTTTAAGGTTTTGGACTGTTTGGATAGAAAAATTTATACAAAAACTGGCTAACATTTTTTTTTTATAAAATCCAGAAATATTGGCTAACATGCATCAGGTTTCATGCTTTATGTATGCTGGTAGCAGGTGTCACAGTCAAATTTAACAGCACCTAAAAGTTGTCTTAGCTCCAATACAGAACATGTACAAGCTGTAGTTCTTCAACCCACCACCCCCGGGCCCCAAAATAATTTAAAAAAGAAAAAAGGCAAGGCATAAAAAGTTTGCACCTGTCAAACTTGTACCCATGCAACAGAGACTCTGCAAGGATGGTCTTCGTAGATGTAGCCAAACAGCCAAATAAAGCAGCACAAAACCCAAATGCATTAAAGCTAAGTTCTGTAACAGATGTGAGAAGAATCCCTCCAACAATGGGTATAAGAGAAGCCCAAATACGCCAGTCAAAATATTTCCTCCACACTAGCCATTGCAAAACAACTGCACAAGTTCACCAAGATCAGATGAAAACGTCCTTCAAATCACAACATAAAGCCAAACCAACCATTGAATCTTTACCGGTTGTTGCAGGGGTGAATGATTTGATTGTCTGCATAAAAGAAACCGGAATGTATCGTAGGCTCACATTCCCCAGCACAATGTTAATACAGAACACAAATGACATAGGAAATATTCTTCTCCAGCGATCTTCAGGGTCAACAGATATCAGCGGTTTAAGCTTCAGCACCTTAATCACCACATATCCTCCAATGGTTGAGCATATAAAGTGGATACAGGATACCGACAGTGGGAACTTGAAATCCAATTTCTGCAAAAGAGAAAAAAAAAAAAAAAAAAAAAAAAAAAAAAAAAACTTCAATTTGAAGAATTTGTTACAATCCTTACAAATTCTGAAATTATACCTTTTTCCTCAAAAATGGAAAAAAAAAACAAATAAATAACATAAAAGATCTAATCTAATCTAAGCAATCCGAGGATCATCATCATACAAGGTCCAATCCTTGATTCCACACGTCAATGTCATTATATAAACCTCCATAGAAGCTTTTAAGGCACAATATAATTTAATTTGAGCCAAATTAATGACACTGACACCAACGTTGGTAATTTTAAGAAGATGAAATCCATAGTCATAGATAGACATATTAGAATTATTGGATAGAGAAAAGAAAGAAAGAAACCTGGAAGATCCACTTGTTGATGATAATGACAGTGACATTGAAAGCCCACCACTGAAGGATTGCCAAGAGAGATCTAAAGACGCTCCACTGGCAAACAAAGCCTTCTTCCATCACGGATCACACAACCCGACCCGGGTGGTTTCGGAGCCCCACAAGTTGGTGAAGGAAAAGAAGAAGAAGAAGAAGAAGATGGTGTAGCTCTTCTTTCTTCCACTATGATAACTCTGTTTTAATAATCGTAAACGTTTCTTTCTCTTTGCCTACCTCATATCTATGCTATTTACTAGTTATTACGCCGTGGAAATTATGCTTCAAATGTTTAATCCCAATTCCATTCATTCTCCAACACGCACTCTCTAGTCCCTATCACTTCGAGACCTTGGGGACATTTTTTCGGGTTTGGTCAATATCTTTGCATATAAAATAATCTCAATTTTTCTTATTAATCTTCATATCTCTATTTTATATTTTTAAATATTACATCTATATTTATTTTTTATATATAAAGAAGGGAGTATAACATCTCAACATATATTTTTTTTTACATTCAAAATATTTAATATTTATCGTATAAAGTAAATGGGAAGAACAGTAGATAATATTCATGGAGAATTTAAAATTATTTTTCATTCCTAACAAGCGTTGAATTTTTTGTTTTGTCA